CGCCTGCCTGTATCTGGGATCTTGCCCTTTCGGTCATGACCCAAAGCTCATGACCATAGGTGAGAGTAGGAAAATCGACTAGTAAATTGAGAGCTTTGCCTTGCAGCTCAGCTCCTTCTTCACCACAACGAACCGGTACATCAACCGCATTACTGCAGAAGCTGCACCGATCCACCTGTCAATCTCCCGTTCCATCCTTCCCTCACTCATGAACAAGACCCCAAGATACTTAAACTCCTCCACTTGAGGCAGGAACTCAACCATGGCCTCAGACTTGGAGGTGCTGATTCTCATCCCAGTCGCTTCACACTTGGCTGAAAGCCATCCCAGTGCACACTGGAGGTCCTGGCTTGATGGAGCCAACAGGACAACGTCATCTGCAAAAAGCACAGACGAGATCCTGTGGTCCCCAAATGGGACCCGGAAACAAGTCTGACATAATGCCGGCAATGTGAACCGAGCTCCTGCTCCTGCTCCCTCAATAGAGGGCCCCAACCCCATACTCCCGGAGCACCCCTACAGGGCGCCACGAGGGACATGGTCGAATGCCTTCTCTCATATCCTCAAAACACATGTGGACTAGATGGGCAAACTCCCATGAACTCTCCACCACACCGAAGAGGGTATAGAGCTGGCCCAGTGTTCCACAGCCAGGATGCGAACCGCATTGTTCCTCCTGGATCTGAGGTTTGACTATCGGTTGAATTCTCCTCTCCAGTACCATGGCATAGACTTTCCTGGGGAGGCTGAGGAGTGTGATTCCCCCTGTAGTTGGAGCACACCTTCCGGTCCCCCTTCTTGAAAAGAGGGGCCACCACCCTGGTCTGCCAATCCAGAAGCACTGTCCCCGACCGCCACGCAATGCTGCAGAGGCGTGTCAACCAGGACAGCCCAACAACATCCAGAGACTTAAGGTACTCAGGGCAGCTCTCATCCACCCCCCAGTGCCTTGCCACCAAGAAGCTTCTCAACTACCTCGGTGACTCCAGCTTGAGTGATGGACGAGTGCACCTCCAAGCCCCGGCGTCTGCTTCCTCATTGGAAGACGTGACACACCCGAGTTTTTGACTCCACAACCACCTGGGCTTTCCTGCAATATCCCCAGTTGAGGTCAACAGCTGCCCACCTCCACTGTAAACATTTTTGGCAGGGCTTCCCCCTCCTGAGGCCCCAGACAGTTTGCCAGAATTTCTTCAAGGCCAACCAATAGTCCCTCTCCATGGCCTCACTGAACTCCTCCCAAACCCGAGTTTTTGACTCCACAACCACCTGGGCTGCAGTCCGCTTGGCCTGCCAGTACCCGTCAGCTGCCTCAGGAGTCCCACGAGCCAACCAGGCTCGAAAGGACTCCTTCTTCAGCTTGACGGCATCCCTTACTTCCGGTGTCCACCACTGGATTCGGGGATTGCCGCCGCGACAGGCACCAGAGACCTTACAGCCACAGCTCCGAACAGCAGCATCAACAATGGAAGTGGAGAACATGGTCCAATCGGACTCAGTGTCTCCAACCTCCCCAAGGATCTGGTCAAAGCTCTGCCGGAGGTGGGAGTTGAAGATCTCTCTGACAGGGGATTCTGCTAAATGTTCCCAACAGACCCTCACAATACATTTGGGTCTGCTGAGTCTGTCCAGCTTCCTCCCCCGCCATTGGGTCCAGATGTACTTAAACATGTTGCCTGAAGAACTCTGTGTTTTGGACTGTTGGTTGGACAAAACAAGCAATCTGATGTTGTCACTGGACTGGACTACGAAATGTCGTTTAATTTAAGATAAATTCGTTTAATAAAATGTAAAATTATTATCTCAGTAATTAGAAAAATAATTGGCAAACTAGTCAGTAATGAAAAACTCATTTGTGTCTATGAAGCCATAATGTGTGCAAGAATTAAATAAACACACAATCATACAGATAGATAGATCCAAATTAAACCCCCAACCCCCCCATTTTCT